ACGCTCACGCAGGGCCGTGGTGCTCAGAAGATGTGTGCTCCTTTCGCTGGACTGGACACGCACCCAGGCTGCTTCTCTTCCGCAGAACTGTGTGCGGCTGAGAGCCCGAGTGGCCCTGTGCGTGAACTTAGGGCTCCCAGGATTTAAACTTGTCCCTGGGCGCTTGCAAGGCCGTGGCCCGCGAGCCTCACGCTGCTTCTCAGGCCCAGTGCTCGACCTTGTGCTTCCCACAGCCCCTCTGGATTCTGGGGCCGCACCTGGCAGTGCTCGGGAGTCTCCGGTGGGGCTGCATGCAGGGATGGAACCCAGGTCAGCTGCCCGGGGGCCCTGTCGCCGCCGCCTCTTCACCCTGGGGAATCTAGGACTGAGGAGGGTCTCTCTGAGCCCCACGTCTCTCAAGCTGCACCCGAGTCCCACTAGACGGGCCCGGAAGGGGCTGGAGCGAGGATTCCCGCGTGGCAGGAGGGAAGGTGTGTCACCTTCCTGCACTGAGGCGCCTAGAAGCAGACTCGCAGGGCGGCCAGACGGGGTGGGGGTGGGGCTCTGCGGGGAGAGCGAGCAGGGCTCCTCGAGTCTGCAGCCCGGGCCTGAGCCAGAGGGGAGGTGCCCGCGCCGTAAAGTGAAACAACGTGTAATAATAACACGTTTCCGGCAGAGATGTGGGAGCACGCGCACCTCTTCTCTGCCTGCTTGGTTTGGATTCACTGTGTTTCCCCGAACTCCTCCCCCCCCCACCCCCACGTCCATTGCTAAGTCGATGGCCAGGAGCTTGGAGCTGTTTGCGGGTTAGCCTTGCTCCGTCCCCCCGGGGGTCAGCCTTTCCCGTCTCGGGGCTCCCCCGCACAGCCTTCCCGCCTGGGGCTGCTGTCCGGCCAGTGTGCGCTGCCAGCCCCCCATCCTTGATCCTTCCCTGGGTGTCCTGGGGAAAGGGTCTGCCGGGCGTCCCCCCGGGCCGCAGTGACAGCGCCCCGAGTTCTAGTCTCGGACCCTCCTCCCTCCCCACCGGCCGTTTCCTCCCTGCATCCTGCACCCCTGGTCCGAGGGGCTGAGAAGCACAGGCTGATCCGCGCGGAAACGGGGCGGTCTGGGCCCCTGCGCCCACCCGGGGCCTGAGGCAGGGCTTGTCAGTGGCTGGCCCCGCCGCCCTCCCTCTCGCCCTGCCCGCCTCCCAGGGACAAGGGCCGCTGCACTGCTGGTAAACCTTCGAACTGTCCGTGACAAATCTTCGAGCGGTGCCACACGCACTGGGCAACTCATGTTGGGCAGCGCATCGGCTGCAGCCTGTCCATGGGCTGGGCCAGGCCCTCAGGCAGAGCGCCACCACACTGGAGAAGCACAGGGTCCCTCCTCCCTCCCTCCCCTCCCCCTCCCTCTTTTCTCTCTCCCTCTCGCTCCCTCCCTCCCCTCCCCCCACTCTCCTGAGGTCTGAGTCCCGTGCTGGGATGTGGATGTGCCCTCGCAGGCCGTGGTCACTCCGTGCCTAGTTGGAGCATGTGGCAACCCCCAGAAGAGTGCCTCGCCTCTCGGCCGCTCTGCTGCTCCCCTGGCGGCGGCGGCCCTTGGAGACGAGCCCCGCCGAGGTGCGGCAGGACTTTGATGAGCAACTTCGATGAGCAATGGGGCCTGTTGGGGGCGGGGGAGGAACCGCTGTGTGTGTTAGTGTCAGCTGGAGGCCTGCGGGGATCGAGGTGTCGGGTGGTGGTCTCTGCACTGATGCCGTGGACCCCTGCCAAGGTCAGGCCCGAACCGAGCACTGGACGCGACTATGCAATATTTGGATCCGGGGCTTTGGAGCTCGGTCTTGTCTCTCGAGAGCCGGCAGTTTAGGGCTTTGAGTGACTGAAGAGGGCTGAGAGTCAGCTAATGCCTTTGGAAAGCCTTCTGCTAGGATACTCATTCCGTTTTCTTTCCTTTCTGTTTTTTGTTTCTGGGTCACACCCGGCGGTACTTGTGTGCAAGGCAAGCGCCCTACCCATTGTGCTACCCATTGTGCTATCTTTGTGCAGTTTAGAACGTTCACTGTGATTGTTCAGACTGAGTGATCCGTCCCGCACAAAGAAGATTGTGGGAGTCCCGTGGTGGCCCCGGCGGCCCTCTCTTGGGCCATGATGTGAGTGGGGACAGGGGCTGTTGCTGATCACTCGTGTCTGTGCTTGTCCTGCAGACCCCCTGGCGGGACAGACTGATGCGTCCCCCTGTGAATCACGGCAGATTCCGTTCCCGGCTGTGACCCGGGAGGGTTGGATGGGAGGGTCCTCTCTCCTCAGAAACTCTGTTCCACAGCAGCGCCTGCGGGCTGGACCTGGGGGAGGGTGTGGGGGCCTTCCCACGAGGGCAAACGCGTTTCCCCACGCTCCTGGGAGCTGTGGCACTCGGGGTGGCCAGTGTCCTGCGCCTGTGGCTTCCCCATCTCCCCAGTCCATGTGTGGGTCCGAGCTCCCTTGGCCAGAGCTTCCTGCTGCCTTTGCCTGGGGGTCCCCGCCCAAGGACACTCCCGGGGAGAGTGGGGAGCAGGCCCGTCTGTCTGGCTTGGTTTTGCCTTGTGCCGGCCCTCCTCGGGGTCTTGACCCTGTGATGCGTCAGGAAAACGTTTTCGCGCCTTAAATCCAGCTGGTGCCGGGACCTGGCTGTGGGCAGCACAGACTGTCGGCCGGTCCATGTGGGCACCTCTGCGCGTGCTCAGACGGGCTCCTCGGAGCAGCTGGGCGTGCCCACCCCGCCCTCCCCGTCTACCCCCCCACCCCTCCCCTTTCTCTCCCCCTCCCCCTTTCTCTCTCCTTCTCTCTCCTCTCCCCCTCTCTTTCACATGCTCCTGTCCCCCTCTGTCCTCCATCTCCCCATGTCCATCCTCCATTCCCTCCCTCTCTTCTCTCTCACACACTCCTGTTCCTGTCTCTCCTCTCCCCCTGGAGTGGGCCGCCCGGCCTCCTGCTGCTGGGGGAGGGGGGGGGGGGCTGTGTCCAAGCTAAGGCAGGGAAGGGCCAGCGGGTGGCCCCTGCTCCTCCTGGACTCTGCCCTTCGGCGTGAGGCGGGGAAGAGCTGCGTTGGGCTCCTCGGTACCTGCAGGCTTTGCCTGGGTTTGGAAATGTCTGACTGCAGCTGTTTCCAGCTCTCATAGATCTCAAGTTATTTGAAAGATGGGCGGGGGGGGGGGCTGTTGAGTCACACCTGCAGTGACTCCTCGCCCTGTGCTCAAGAACCGCTTCTCATGGTGCTTGGGGACCCCCTGGCGAGCGCCCTCCCTCCCTCCCCCCCCCCCCTCAGTACCGTCTCCAGGCCTGTTTGGGTAGGTTCAGCCCAGAGGACTTGTTGGCTTCTCCTGACGCTGAGCGGCCAGGTCTCCGAGGCAGGTCGTGAATCTGGTTTGTGGCACCCGGCACCTCATTTCCTGCAAGTTTTAGACTGTAGCATTAGGGGTGCTTAAAGGGAGGGTGTGTTCCCTGTAGATTTCAGGCACCAGTATTGGGGTGCTAGCCAGAGGACCCAGATCTCAGAGAGGTCGGGGTCCCCGAGGTCAGCCTCAGCGCCTGCGGGGCCCGGCGGCTCCGAGCGTTTCCGGTCTGCGGGTGGCTCCTGGGCGCACAGGGTGTGTCAGCTCCCTGGCTCTGCTGTCTGGTGTGTGTCGAGGGGTGTCCGTGGGGGCTCCCGTGGTGTGTTTGTGAATAAGCGTGTAGCTGCGTTTCCCATGGGTCGTCCCGGCTCTAGAGCGAGGGCTGGGACCCAAGGGCCGGGGTGACGGGTCAGAGCGGGGCTCCTCGCCATCTCCGGGGGGGGGGCGCGGCTGAGGCAGTCCGACACTGGGGGGCTGCTGAGGGCGGGGGGACAGAGGAGTGCGAGCGCAGGAAGAGGAAGTGGAGGCGAGCACGTGGGTTGGAGATGACCTGGCCGGGAAAGCCCACCTGCTCTGGGAAGGTGGCCTGACCGTGTCCAGCCCCGTCTCACCACTCGGGCAGCTTTCCCACGACTCCTGACTCATGGCGCCACTGAAATCACCTGGAGCCGGGGGTTGGGGGGGCATTTGGGGACCAAGTGAGAGCGTCTGCTTTGCACACGGCCGACCAGGTTTGATCCCCGGCATCCCATAGGGTCCCCGAGCACCGCCAGGAGTGATTCCTGGGTGCAGAGCCAGGAGTAAGCCCTGATTGTCGCCGGATCGCCAGGTGTGACCCAACAAGCCAAAAAAATAAACTCCCTCAAGGCTTCTTAATTTATCACTGGGAATACTGAGGAAAGTTCCCATTTGATGTGACCCAGGCATGTGCGTGACTCAGAACATGGCAGTGACGGCCGCCGTGGGCCTCACACTCAGACGTTCAGTGCCATCCCCTGCGGGGGCTCCCAGCCCACCTGCCCGCCGATCTTGGAGGATCGTCAATGCCCCCATTTTGCAGACTAGGAAGTCGGGGCTTTCCCCAGTGGGGTGTCAGCCCGGCCTGTCTGCATTCAGGGCGCCTCTGGGTTGGGTTTGGGAGTGGGGGGCCGCGGCTGGCTCTGCTGTGGGGCTGAAGCCGTCCCTGCCCCTCCTCCCTCTGGCCCTGCCGTCCAGCCGTGCTCTTGCGGTATTTGTGTGTTTACCAGGAGCTAATGGAAATTCTTTATGATGGGGCTGGGTGGGTGCCTGCGCTGTGCTTGCGGGGCGGGGTGGGGGGTAGTCTCACCACCCTGCCCCCCCCCCTTGCTGGCGCGTGGCGTTCGTGGCCTCACGCTCCCCCGGCAGCTGCCTTTAGCCCCTAATCTGGCCCACGGGTGTCCCGAGCGAGATGAACTGGGAGTTCAGTGCGGTGACTGGCTTTCCCCGTTCAGAGGCTGTTCATGTGTGTCCCGAGACTCCGTGAGCACCTTGCTTGCTTTGTTCTGTGGATCAGATCCCGCGGTGACACTTGAACAGTCGCAGGCTTTCTCTGCCGCCCGGACCAGCGGGATCCCCGCTCGTGCCAGGGGCTGCCTGTCCTGCCCGCCGAGAACTGACCGTGCCTTCCTTTCTCGTCCAGGTTTGCCTGCGATGAGATTTCCTTCTCTCCGCCTCGAGGCCACCGTCGCGGAGCTCCTGGGAAGGAACCTGGCATGAGCCTGTGCCTGCCCGTCGCGTGGAGAAGTAGCTGACCTTCCTCGGGGCTGCTGGCCGGGCGACCGCGGGACTGTCTCACCATGTCCTCGAGCCGGAGTCAGAACCCGCACGGACTGAAGCAGATCGGCCTGGACCAGATCTGGGATGACCTCCGCGCCGGCATCCAGCAGGTGTACACGCGCCAGAGCATGGCCAAGTCCAGATACATGGAGCTCTACACGTATCTTTGCGTGGGCCGGAGCGGTGGTGGACGATCGCTCAGAATCCCCCTCCCGCTGGACAGCCGGGCCGTGGGGGCAGAGTTGGGAAGGTGCGCGGGCCGTGTCCCAGGGCGGTCAGAGAGCCCAGGTTGGGCCCTGGGACATCGGCTCGCGCGCGTCCGTCTGCTGCGACCCGGACGCAGGGCCGGCCAGGGCTGGGGCCCGGGGCATCGGGGCGCGGAGGCTCCTGTTGGCGTTCGCGTTCGCTCAGGCCGTTTGGATCTTACTGAGGTAGAGAGACCAGAGTCAGGACCACTTCCTCCATGTTTTCACTGTGTGTGATGTGAGTTCGTTCACCGCGTTCATCATCTTAAGCTCCACGACAGCAAACGAAAGTGAAACCGGTTCTCCAGGGAGCATCATGTAAAGCTGTAAAGGGCCAGTTGCTGGCCCTTAGGTCATGTGCTGTCCCCCCACCCCCACCCATTGCTGGTGTTTTAGACCCTTAGATTGGCCTGGATCGAAATGCGGAACCGGGTCTCCAGAGTCCAGGCTGGGGGTGTGGACACGTTGCCCAGTGCAGTGGCCACCCACGGCAGGGCAGTCTTTAGTCATGCCTTTAGCCACCAGGGAGACTGTCCCCTGGGCAGCCCTTCTGTGCCCGTGGCCACTCACCTGCCTCCTCTTGGGTCGGCCTGTGCAACCGCATCTGCTCGGTGAGGATGCGGTGTCCTGCCTCCCAGCTTCCTTCTGCAGGGGCAGCTGTTGGGGGCTCTGGGTTCCGTGGCCAGTTCCGGGGGGGTCTGCAGGGGGCAGGGCCGGCTGCAGGGCTCCGTTTTCGATTCTCCTTTGCGTGTGAAACCCAAGAGTTTCCCGACTTTGGCTTGGACAGCGCTGTCAGGAGCTTCGTGGGATTGACGTGTGTCCTGCTACGTCTTGAATTATTTTTCTGCTTTCGTGGGCCACGTCCCACGCTGTTCTGGGCTCCTCGGCACAGTGCCCACGAGCCAGGCCAGGCAGCACCTCTGCTTGGAAAGCCCTGGCTCCGTGAGCCACCGCCCCACACGGCCAGGGGATCAGTAGATAGGTTTGATCACTAAAAGCACAAAAGTCACTTTTGCCTGGGCCCCTCCTGGAAACCCCAGGCTGTCCACACTGGCCATTCCAGGGAACACCCGGCCATCCCGGAGCACCCTGGCACTGCTCCAGGCCCTCAGCTGGCCCCTATACCATCCCTCTGATCCCGGAAGCCTTGTTTTTGATCGCGCAGTGTGTGGTGATCAGTGGTGAGGCGGAGACTACGTGAAGACTCAGAACAGGCCAGGAAATTTCCCCACGTGTTATTTTTGACTAGAGGCTCTTTGGCGCTTAAAAACTCGGGGAAGGAACCAGAGGTGGTTCGTGGGTGAGGCATTCGCTTTGCATGTGGCCAGCCCAGCTCAGCACCCCGTCTGGGCCCTGAACATCAATATGGGAGCTCCCCGAGTACAGAGCCAGGAGTTTCCCCCGGGCCCTGCTATGTAGGGCCCCAAGCAAATGAGATTTCGAAAAGGTGAACCCTTGTCTGCTCGCAGCAGTTACTGGATTCTTGGATCTGTCTGCGATGTCCAGTGGGAAATCTCGGGTCCCCGGGGAGCTCAGAGCTCCCGTGGGAGTTCTGGGCGTAGGATTCTGTGCTGGGAACTGTCCCCTCCTTACTCAAGGTCACGGCCCTTCTAGGTTGGTTTCCAAACGCTCCACTGAGTGGCTGAGTGGTTAGCATGCCCACCGATACTGGAGGAGCCCACCACTGGAATTCTTCTTGCTGGGGCTGAGGGGGGACACACCTGGCGGAGCTGAGGGCTTCTGCCGGACTCCTGGGCGAGCTCGGGGGTCTTGGTTCCCCGGTTTTTTGTTTAGCTTTTACCTGTGCTAAGGAAATAGTTGTCTGCAAGTTGTGTGCGTAGGCTGTTCTCCGTAACTTAAGGGTAGGAAACCCTAGTTAGAACGCAAGCCTCAGTCTTGCACACCGAGGATTTGCTATCGAATGGCTATAAACTGCCATTAATACCTTAAAGATTCCCCTAAAGACCACCCAAAAACTCCTTGAAAAAACAAATGTGTACTGTAATGTGGCAGTCTGCAAAATCAACAGGCAGAAGTCCTTGGCATCCTTGTATGCAAACAGTGAAAAATACAAGAGAGAAAACTTTTTTTAATCCCATTCTCCGTTGCACCTTAAAAAAATGAAGTTGCCCCGAGGCAGGGACCACCCTGGGAATCAGCTTAACAAAAGAAAGAAGGGCAAGACTTATACAAAGAACGCAAGACCCAAGGAAACAGAAGCGCATCCCCTGTCCATGGGTTGGAAGAATTAATGTTGTCAAAATGACAGCCGTACCCCAAGCACACTATAAATTTAGTGCAGTTGCTGTAAAAATACCCATGACATTTATTTAAAGGCGTGGACCAAAATGCTGCTGAAATAGAGTAAATAAAACCCCTTGAATAGCCTAAACAGTCCTCGGGATCAAAGAAGATGGGGGTTTCTCCTTCCCCACGTTCAGTTAGACCACGAAGCCATGGTCATCAGAACAGCATCTTCTGGAAACGGGCAGGCTCTCGGCCCAGAGACGGACTCTCAGCTAATTTCTGCCTGAGAAACCCAGAGCAGAGTGGACAGGAAAGGTGCCCGGCAAGTGGCCACCACCCGCGAAGAAATGAACTCGGCCTCCTGTCTCTCCCGCACACAAAAGTCCGTTGAAAGTGGATTAAAAACCTCTTATGAGACCCAGATATATCAGTTGTATTGAGGAAAACGTGGCGCCCTTCAGGACATAATCTCGAGGGAAGAATCACCAGTGACTCATCGGTAGCAACAACCCAGCATATGGGAGCAAAGACCAGCGAATGGGGCCACACCAAACAAAGACTTTGCTTCCACGCTGCAGAATAAACTACGACCGGAATAAAAGGACACGGACCGGGAGAGAGGATTTGCTCACCATTCGTCTGATAAAGGGTCAATATCCAGGATACAGAGGGAACCTGTCAAACAAGCGAAAACAGCCCGTCAGAATGCAGGGAGAGGAGGCGAACAGACACTTCCTCGAAGAAAGCACACATGTCGTCGAAGGTGCAGGGAGAGATGCGGGCGTCGCTGACCCAGGAAACGCAGATCCGGGCGTCAGCGGGCGAGAGGGGCCTCGGCCACTGCTGCTGGCAGTGTGAGCCCCCCAAACACTCGGTATGGTCCTGGCATGTGTCCAACCCCAGAGGGGACCCTGGCACCAGGAGGCCCCTCCCCACAGAGAGCAAACACAGATTCCGAGACCTTTGAGTCCCGTCGTGAGGCGCACACTTGCGTCTTGGGGGACGCAGCCACCTCGGGCGTCAGCCTGGGCTGCCATTCGGAAATGCTCGGCTGCGTTTTCTTAGCGTCTCAGTCGAGAAAGTGCCTGTTCAGGTGCTGTTTACTGGCCTTCCTTCGGCCAGTACTAGTCTCGGCGTCCATTGCAAAGTCCTGCCCCTCTCCCCCGTCACTGCCCATTTTCACTATGAAAACGGTTTTTTCTGTTTGTGTGTTTTTAATTTTTATTAGTGAAACACCATGAGGTACAGTTGGAGACTTACAGACTTCCGTGCGTGGGTTTCAGTTATACAATGATCAAGTGCCCATCCCCCGACCAGTGCCTGTTCTCCACCACCAGTGATCCCAGTAGCCCTCCCATTCCCGCCCCTCTCCCCCCACCCACCCTGTCTCTGTGGCAGCGCATTCCCTTTTGCCCGCTCTTTCCTTTAGGGTATTGTGCTTTGCAGTAGAGATATTGAATGGCCATTGTGTTCAGTCTGTAGTCTCCTGAATCCTGAGCGAGTCCTCCCAACACCCTTTACTTGGTGTTCCCTTCTCTACCTGAGCTGCCTTTTCCCCCAGCAAGTGCTGCCGGCTTCCAAGCCGTGGAGCAAACCTCCTGGTACTTAACTATTCCTAGGTGTTCGTCTTCCATTCTGTTAGTTTATATTCCACAGATGAATGCAGTCTTTCTGTGTCTGTCCCTCTCTTTCTGACTCATTTCACTAAGCATGATACTTTCCATGTAGAACCACTTGTTTGCAAATTTCATGACTTCATCTTTTCTAATAGCTGCATAGTATTCCATTGTGTAGATATACCAAAGTTTTTTAAACAGTCATCTGTTCTTGGCATTCGGGTTTTTTTCCCCAGATTTTGGCTATTGTAAACAGTGCACCAATGAATATATAAGTGCAAATATCATTTCTACTGTACCTTTTTGCCTCTCTGGGATATGATCCCAGGAGTGATATTGCTGGGTCAAATGGGAGCTCAATTTCTAATTTTTTGAGAATCGTCCAGACTCTTTTCCAAATGGGCTGAACCAGTCAGCATTCCCCCGAGCAGTTAAGGAGAGTTCCTTTCTCTCCACATCCACGCCAACACCGGTTGCTTTTGTTCTTTTGGATGTGGGCCAGTCTCTGGTGTGAGATGATATCTCACTGTTGTTTTGATCTGCATCTCCCTAGTGATTAGTGATGTAGAGCATTTCCTTATGTGCCTTTTAGCCATTCGGATTTCTTCTTTGAGAAAGTTTTTGTTCATTTTGTCACCCCCCCCCCTTTTATTTTTAATTAGTGAAGCACCATGAGGTACACGACTTACAAGCTTTTGCGCTTGGGTTTCAATTCTACAATGATCAAGTACCCTCCACCAGGACCCATTCTCTACCACCAATGAACCCAGTAGCCTTCCCACCCACCCCCACCCCGCCCCACCTTTGTGGCAGGGCATTCCCTTTTGCTCTCTTTCCTTTAGGGTCATCACCCCATTTTTTGATGGGGTTGCATGTTTTCTTCTTGTGGAGATCAACCAGCGCTTTGTATATCCCTGATATCAACCCCTTATCAGATGGGTATTGGGTGAATATCCTTTCCCATTCTGTAGACTTTGTATTTTGTTCACTGTTTCTTTTGAGGTGCAGAAGCTTCTTAGTTTCAGATAGTCCCATTTGTTTATCTCTGTTTT